AGAGTCAGACTCTGCAATCCCCCCGATTGCAGACGTGATTGATAAATGTGCCGAGGGCGAGAAGGAGAGAGACGATGTGTCTGGTGTGAGGTTGCCAGGAAATGTGCTGCGTGCTGGGCTCCGAGTCACAGCCTGACGGACCAGTAGTACAAATCCTCTGACTCTCTGGTCGGCCCCTCCAAAGTCCTTTTGGAACGTGTTGGGGCTGCCAAACGCATATGGAGACTGAGGCCTCTTCTTTCTTTCTCAAAAAAAAAAAAAAAATTCTCTCTAATAAGACCTAAGTGTTGATGTTCCTTGTCAAGTACAGCAGGGCTTTTAGTTCCTGTGTGTCCATGCTGGCAAAAAGAAAGGAGCCCTCTTAGAAGGGATGCCGCTTGTGCTGTTAAGCTTATTGCTGAGCTTTAGCCATTGTCCTTTGGCTCCATGCGTGACATGGTGAGGATTTGACAAATGTCTGAGCTGGCACTGAACAATGCAAGCAGATGGACATGAGTGTACACATCCAAGAGACAATTCCTCTCTCACTCACTACAGGCGAGAGATCTAGCTGAGAATGTCCAAATTACTATTGATTCAGAGTTTACAGATATATAATCCAGAGGATGCTGTTTTGATTCCAGTTTTGATCTAGACTCAGAGGCACTAAAGGGCAAGTGTTTGTCGTATTTGAATCAGCTGTAATGGGAAGGAAGTGGAACTGGACATTGCAAGGAAATGCTCCCTCATTTGCCTTCTGTGGAAAGAGCTGAATTGTAGCATAAATCAAATTGGCATTTTCTCAGTCAGCTGGGTATTTATGAACAGAATAAAAAGGTCACCTCCACTCCCTGCAATGTGTAGGATTATGGCCACAAATGCCAGTTTGTCATTTAAACAATATTTTCTATGTATGTCTTTGGTATAAACGTTGGTTCTCTATATACCTTCCTTTGTGATCTACAACTTATTTTTCAGTAAGTAGAGAAAAAGGTGGACATGGCAGAGTGTTAAATACCTTCTTATAAGTTTGCTTACTTTTTTCCTGCACACAAAATGTTTCACACTGAAAAACCCTCATTCCTCACTGAGAAATGCCTTTTGGGCAAGTAAAGGCAGGGACCAGGGTGGGGATTTTTCCATATTTGGCCAAAAATATAAATGGCTTGCAAGGGACCTGTGATCATTTGAAATGAAAGATCGTTAAAGAATAATTGCAACTGTAAAAGAAGAGAAGGAAACTTCTCCATGAAGTCTTCTTTTTTACATTTTCTTTTCTAGATGGCTGCCCAGGTCTCTGTTACGGAAACGGGAGGTGCACTCTTGATCAGAATGGGTGGCACTGTGTTTGTCAAGTGGGCTGGAGTGGCTCAGGATGTAATGTTGTCATGGAAATGGTGTGTGGAGATAATCTGGACAATGATGGAGGTATGATACATAATTCATGTCTCTTTGTTGACTTGTCACGTCCTTGATTGTCATTTGAATCTACAGTTTTGGTGTATGTTTTCCTTTTTATCACAGAATGTCAATGTTTGTCTGTTTGCTCAAGACAGTTGTTCCACTAACTTCATCTGAAGCAGTGCGGTGAGGGAACAGACCCTTGTGCTAGATGTTATTCAAGGCAGAAATTACGTATGTGCCATACCTATCACCCCAGTACTTGGCTTTTTTTCTGTAAAAAAAAAAGTGTAACAAGTAATTTCTTCTAGCGCCTTTCCACTCTACCTCGTAACTCTGTCAGCTATTTCAGAAAAGACAGCCGATGGATACCCAAATGAAAAAACCTCTGTGCCTGTCGAAATGCATCCAGAGTTTAGTCTTATGTTAATATTATATGAATACATTTGCAAGTATAAAGCATACATTTAGAGATGCTTTTTTAACATTAATCTCTTTCTTAATGTTTCCACTGAGACACAGCACAGTTCTTGCAATTATCTGGACCTCCATTTGAATGATTGTTGAGTAAGCTAGTGTGAAAAGTATGCAGAAATGATTTTTGAAAGTACCTTAAACAGAGCCCTGTACTGAAATAATCCTTCACTCTTCCACCAGTTGAACCAGGGCATTTGGCACTGGGTGCTGCCTACCTCAGATCTCTGTAGCCTTGATTCATTCTAAGGCTGTGTAAGTTTTAGGTTTGCTGGGAAAAACATAGTTCTTTCATAAGTTAGTCTCTGCTTCCTTTCCAGTAGTTCTTTCTAATACACAAGCTAGTGCATTTTTTTCAGGAAAAATATCCAGACTCTGTTTCAGACTTAGCAGTGGGAGACGAGCCACAGCATTCCTCACTGATTGTTCTTGGAGTTAATTATTCTTCCTATCTATTTTAGGAATACTCATTTGCTGGGCAGGCAAGAAGGACTATTGCTTTCCTCTCCTTTACTTGCTACCATCCTTTACAGTGTATTTGCCCCCATACTCAGGGCTGTGCAGCTTTCTCATTCAGATTGCAAATACCTCTGCCCCAAGGAGTTACATTTTTGTCCTTAGATTGTACACCGAGATGTGTGGAAATATATATTATCTTACTGTCACACTTTCAGGCCGTCTCGGTGTCTTGGGTGAGATCTCATACCCCACTGCAGTGTCAAACCTTAGTATAATGATTGTCTATTTTCTTCTAGGTCATTGATAAATTAAGCTTGATTTAGGGCCAAGAACTGAGGTTACTGTGGGACCTCAGTAGAAATATTCTGACTCAGTGATGATTCCTCATTTACAGGTATATTTTGAGACCTTCTGGTTTTGTATCCTGCGGGCTCTAAGACCATGCTGTCCTTTGGCAAAGGCTTCCTCGCTTCTGAACCCCGTTCCAAATCACCTTATTCCTCTCTCACCCTTCCTTTTCCACCTTATTTCCAAGACATCTAACAACCATCTCTCTGCCCACTGTCTCTGCTCTTCTGTGCTGGTGTGTATCCCTTTCACACAAGGCCCCACAGCTGGCATCACTGCCCCCCGCGTGCTTTCCCATCTGGCTGGTGCTCTCCCCTGCCGTCCGAGCCACTGACTCACCCGCCTGCACTCTTAAATCTGTCCACAAAACCCTGTTTAGCCTGTAATGGATGTAAAGCATTTTCTGCTACACTCTATGAACCGGCTCTGTATAAACTGCCCTGTATTGTGATTTTGGGTGCTTTATATTCTGCAATAATGGTGAGTTATTGAAAGAGTTGGCAGTTTTAACTCTAAATCTCCTTGAATTTGTCAGTTTAAGGCAGACACTTAACATCATTTCACTGCAGGTTTTCAAAGTAATTTTCTTTTTCCTTTTTAATGGCAACATAACATGGACTAGGACAGCTCTGTTGACATTACAATTAGAGATAAGTGCAGAGAGAAATATTTAATTAATCTGACTACTACAGATGAGCTAAATGTAATTAAGTTTCCTTCACAATCAATTTTATATAAGAAAAGAAAATTACATGTACATATTAAAACTACTTCTTTTTATATATGAAGTCCATAAGACCTGATTTGGCATAAGCATAAATTAGAAAAACTCCCCTAAAGTCATTGGAGTTATACCAGTGTTACATTAATACGAAATCCGAAGCTGATTTCTAGTGTTTCAGGATTTGTATTCATACACAACAGCAAAACCAGAAAATAGGAAGGAGACATGACATTACCTGTTAAGTCCTGTTGGCTGGGAGGTTGTGCCTTAGACTATGAGAATATTATGGTGGCATAACGAGTTACCATCCATCAACTGGATTGGGTTCAGAACGATGGAAGCTATTAACGTTTTCACCCGCGGTTGTGGCGAGTTAAGAGCATGCGCTCGGCTGGGTTACAGAAACTCAGCTGACAGACAGCAGCTTCCTAAGCCATTAGGATGTGATCGCATCCAGTCAGTGACACATGGCTCTCGACGTAATTTAGTGCTGTTGTATATTCCAAATCATGGTATTGTCACCTAGAAAAGGTCTTATTCATTTCAGTTGTGTTTAAATCAATCATTTATATCTCGGTCCTTAGGAGATATTTTGAGCTTCGAGGAGGAAGTCACAACCAAAGAGCAAAGCTGTAGTACCGTTGATTATTATTTCAAACAAACTCTAGTTTCAGGAGTTAGGCAGAGGGGAAATTTTGTGCAGTTTCTAGTTGATTTATCACACTGCAGTGCTTTCAGAGGCTGAAAAACTGAGATTTTTACTATATAAAAATACATTCAAATACATGGTAGAAAAAACATGTTAGAAAATTAATTATTTTGTCAGTTCCAACTGCAGGGATTGAATAATGTCATTTATTTGGCATGAGGAAATGTTAGTGTTGTTATTTGGTCTGTAGTAACAGCATAAAAGCTTTGGGAGGGAGGAAGCCTTGAAGTTGTTTGTTAAGGACTGATATGTTAGTGTAAAGGTAAGCCACAAGCATGTCCACAGGCATCCTGGTTCCACAGATGCTGAAGCAGCAAGCGCTCCCCATCAGTGCAGTTGTCTGTGGTGGTAAGGTTAAACACGTGTGGAAATACTTTCCTGAGCAGGGAAGGTACTATTTCTTTTAAAGCCCCGTTAGTATACGCTGTACTTGCACCCTGGCTGTACCATAACTGCCTTTCCCGTTCCATCTCATAACTCTCTGTTAGCTTTTTCCAACTTGCAGACTTAAGGGCATGTTTACCTGTTCAAATATCACTACAAATATCATTGAAAAGGTCTTAGCATTATAACAGATGCACGACGGCATGGTTTGCACTTGGTCTTGTGGAGTGCATCTGCAGTCTGTTAGCAGTGTGATGTCCGTTAAATAATGCCAAGAAGTCAAGCAGATGTCCTTTGCAGTGCAGCCTTTCCCTTGCCGTGGCTTCCCTCAGCATCACATTATCCCCTATTTCTTCTTACTCTTCTTTCATTGTCATGACTGACATGGTTTCATTCTCAATTTATAAGATGACCGTTCAGCTCATCTAGGCAAGACATTTTCTGTCATCCTGCCATTACTTTAGACTCATTTGCAAAGCTTGCATGGCTCCAGGAGACTGCTTGAAAGCTCTGCCCAGTTCTGCGCAGGCGAGTGCCCGTGTCCCAGGCACGAGGAGGCAGAGCACCCTCCTGCAGCGCTGGGACGCGCAAGGTGCTCCACACCAGCTCACAGGTCACCCCCCCACACCCTACCAAGCCACAATTTACCTGCTGTTCTGCCATATATTTACATTGCTGCTGCACATGCAGGTCTTTGTCATAAGCTGAAAGTTGCAGCCTGTCACTCCCATTAATTTCTTTGATACGGATCTCTCTTTTAAATTTACCTGGATCTCTTTTCATCATTTTCTTTGTCTTTCATGAATCAGTCTTGACTATTTGTTTTTAAGGAAAATACTATTTACTACAAGCTTTGTATTCTCTTCCAAATATCCCTTCAGTCACTTCAGACAGTTATTGTAGCTTTCTCCAAGCTTTTCCAAGCACAAGAAAATATATGACTCAGCATAGCCTTGGGTTGATAACCACTGCTGCTAAAATATTGATGTATTTCTGACCCATCCATTGGCATTTTAATAACCTATCCATCACAGAGATATTGAGTCCATATATAAGTAATATGCTATTATTACACAGTATAAATAATACTGATGGGAATGGTTTTCATTGTTGCTGAGCAGCGAGGGCTCCCCGGGGATACTTACAGTTTCTGAAAATCATACCCTGATAGATTCTCCTGTGTGTGGAAGGCCAAACACCACAGGCACTCGCTGGACAAAACACTCTGCAGCCTTTCCACAGACGCACTGGTGGGATTCCAGTGTCCTTACACAAACGCTGGTGTTCCCAGTTAACAGCCTCACTGTCTGCTGCATGCTGTGTATTATGGCTAAAATTTGAGAAGCAGTTTGGCTTAATGCATACAAATGGGCGTTAGAGACTCATGACAGTTGCTGCTGCTTGGTCTCTTCTGAAGTTACTCTTTGATTCCGTTTGCTTAGAATCCTGGCAACCCTAATTGGACTTAACTGAGCCTGTGGTGAAACAAGTCGGCACAGGCATCGTTCAATGCTTACTTGAAATCTGTAAAAGGAAGCAAGCAAATGTGAGTTGAAGACTCCTGTGGATTTTTTTTTTTCCCACAAACAACAATAGTATTGAACAATTGATCATGCGAGTACCAAAAAGCTCAAATCCTTTAAGTGTTGAGAGTCATGGTTGAGTTTTTTGAGGTTGTACTGCATAAGGAGTGCAGAGAACAAAGTCTGCTTACCGCCGGGAGAACCTGAAAGCCCGTTTTTTTACTTTCTGTGAAAATGTTCTGGATATAGTTCTCCCAGCTCCATTGCTGGCTTGTGCTCGCTGGGACCTGTAGAGAGGGAGCAGGAGAGCACTTACAGACACGCCTCTGGGTTGCTCCGCAGCAGTGAAAATGAAGGTCATTGGTGTTACTTGTACTTAGTATATTGCTTAGCGATGGATTTGATT